CCTGTTCTCGCTCCCCTAAAGAGAACCATGAGAGCAGAGGGGCTGGTTCTCAGTGCTTCTTATTCTTGCTGCAGTTGGTTGCCAAGGAAGACCCTAAAGCATTGGCTGTTGCTTTGAACTGGGACATAAAGAAGACGGAAACTCTTCAGCAGGCCTGTCATCAGGAACTCGGCCTGCGCCTCCAGCAGGTTCAGAGCTTGCATGCTCTGAGGGGCCTTTCAGCAAGGAAGAATTCAATGCCTGGAGAAGCGCAGAATCCCAAACGGGCCAGACAAGACCCCACGTAGCTGGCAGCCAGAAATACGCCAAAGAAAACCTTGGTTTTTGTTGTCAGTAAACGCCTTCAGCCTAATCATTGTACCTACTGACTTCTCTACCCCCTGCCTTCGAGAATGTTCTCCTGGAACAGCCTGGAAGACCGGCTTCATGCCCTCTCCAGAAAAGCTATTCCAGACCTCCACATATGGCTTGTCCACCTCTTTTGAACCACAGAGCTGCACCAGCAATAGCCCACCTCTTCTTACACACCCTTATGTTCTCTGTTTAAAAGTAGTTGGGAAGGGCAGTGAAAAGAAACTGTCATATTTCAGACCCACTATTTTTGTTCTAAAAATAGAACTGCAGGATTTTTAAACAGAAATAATGGTAGAGAAGGTGAAATAAGAGAAATAGTGACAGAAGACAACAACTGATGATGGCCACAAACTTGTTTCTCAAGTTAATGAATTTCTTCATTTGTTTAAGGCACATATTAAGTTTGCAGACCATAGGGACATAGAGTAATTCACCATTTCTAATATCTAATTCAGTATTAGGAAACTATATCTGGTACCACTGCAAAACTTTTCAGTTTCCTAATATGTTTTATCAGCAGGAGGTATAAAAAGGTCATCAAATTGATCTCCATGTGATAGGACTCCAAATCTCTCTGGATGCAAAGCAGAGACTTCTGATTTATATCCTCCTGTTTCTGTACAAACTTGTTCTTTGGATTTGGTAATCGACAATAAAGTCTCTCTTGCAGGGAAAAGATTATTAGTTATTGACTGACTTGACTTTTTTTTAAAGCATACTTAGAGGAAAATAAAATGCTATTAGGAGATACATTGGCTAATTATTAAGTAAAGAAACATAACAATAAGTCCTGGGGTGAGGGAGAGGTGCAAAAAACAAACAGAACCAAAAACACTCTTCCTTCTCCTGTGACCTTCTTCGAGGGGGGCTCAGATCTACTCAGCATAGTCTTACTGATGCTTTACACCACTGGTTCTCACTTATTAGCCCCATTTCTTTTTTAACAGCATATTTTATAATGCCTTCTTAATTATCCTGAAATGAAAGCCAACCTGATAACCTACCCATAGGCATACTTTCATCGACTTAATACCCCCAAATGTAAAATTTCAGAAGAAACAAAATAATTTCCAATAAAACAGTATGTATTCTCAGCATGTCACTGTCTGGAGATGACCATACAAAAGACACAGTGAAGCTGTCAGATGCTTGTACTTAAACACTGAATTACTGTGAATTTGACAGAGGCAGCCAGGCATGATGTGTAGCGATTGTCAACTCAAATACCACAAGCAGCACTGCCTTTTGTAATGGAGTTTCCCAAAACAGTGACGTTCTGGATAAAATAACACCTCTATCCTTGATTTACAAGGTAGCTGCATTTATGAAAAAATCCAGGGAACAATAAAACTGGAAAAAATACTTTGTATTTATATATAAAACCGAAATAGGTTTGGGGCTAATTTGGAAGAGGTTTTCATCCATATGAACATGCAGCCTGATATATAAAAGTCTTGTGGGATATGGGATGATTCTCCACTGTGTGGAACGGTCTGTGCTTTGCAGGAAGATTAGCACCCCACCTCCTACCCCACCCACTCAGTGCCAGTAGCAGCCTCCAGGGACTGAGACAGCCAAAAGCAGCCTCACACGTTTTCAGAATGTCCTTGGAGGGGCAGTAATAACCAGGTGAGGGTTTTTATAGCAGTTTGCATTCTGCTGTGTGCTGGCACCCACCCCTCCAGTGCCCCACAAAACAGTGAGCTAGGCAGGGCGTGGCTTGTCACCTCTAGTTTTATACATGAGCAAAGTTGTGCTCAGTGAGAGTCAATGACATGCCGCATGTCACAAGGCTAATTGGAAAGCCAGGATTCAAAGGCAGTTCTTCTGGTTCTCATTCCAGTATTCTTTCCACATGTTTGTATTTGCTCTTAGGTCCACACAGTCTATATCCAGATCACTGGTTTTGTTATACCAGTGTAGTAAGTTGAAGTCAAGTCCAGCTGGAAAAGGCCTAATACGTCTGCAGCATGATTGCCAGATTTCTAGCCATCATCACTGTGCTGGTGGTGAGAAGCAGTTCAGCCTCATGAACCCTGTGTAGCTAGCACAGTAGTAAAGGAAGCCTGGGCTCCACAAATAATAGAGTAGCACCTCCATTCACCAGTTATATCGACATCTCCATCTTTGCCCTACTGAATTAAAAATGTTTTCTTAAATTCTAATACACAGTAGAGCTTTGGTCGGCCAACCTGCGCGTTGGTATTGGTCTTCCGTATTTGAAACAAACCCAGCAAGCATCTCAGCTGTGCGGGACGATGGGAAAAGTACTGCAGGTTTTGGAGTGAGACAAACCCATGTTGAGTCTACCTTTCTGGGACGTTAGTTTCCAAAAATGTAAGGTTAACTTGAGGCCCCAAGGATCAAAGGGTTACATTAAATGAAGTATGAGGAGGAGCACAGTCCCCAGCACAGAGTAGTAGGGAGAGGGCCCTTTCATCTCCCCAGGGGCAGAGAGATGGCGGTGGGAGCAAAGACCTCAGTCTGCAAACTCCAGCCCAAATGCAGAGTGAGAGCCGTTGCAGACACATTATTTTGCCCCGGGTACCACTTACCTTCCCTACACCACTGTGCCTCCAGGCCTTCTAGAAGCACAGCAATATGTCTAAAAATAGGGGAGGGGGGGAGAGAGAGAGGGAGTAGGCCATGCCTGTTCTTCTGGTAGGAGAAAAGAACGTCAAAGAAAGCAGCTGGGACTAATGAACTCTGCATTAGCCATATTCCATTCTTTCAACTCAAGTCAAATGTCGGTCCCCATTAGGCAATTGGCTTTGACAGGAGGCTGTGCTAATTACCACTTTACCAACCTTTAATTTCTGGATAAAAGCACAAGGAAAAAAATCTAATGAATTTTTCATTTTCTAGAGAAAGGAATAAAATAATAGTAGTCTGTAAAAAAAAATTAATTACAAGATATTAATGTGCCTTTACTAAACAGATTTTTAAATTTTCTAATTATCTTTTCTTTTTTCCCCTTGCCTTCAGTTTTTTCTTATTTTGTTGTATTAGTAGGGTTTTTCCTTAAATTATTTTGGCTAGGTCGTAACATTACTTGAGGTTTTTAAGGAACTTGGAAATTATCTACTCCAAATACCCATCCACTGCCTGAATCTGCGACACAGCTGACCGGGGGTGGGGGTGGGCTCCTGCCGTCCTATTGGGAAGCCTCCAATGAAAGGAACAGACTCATCCTCCCCAGAAGCTGCATTAAAATTTCAGACTACAGATCCTTAAATTGGCTGTTTGCTCAAATTAAGTCAGACAACACTGCACAATTACAAGGACGTGAGCCAACAGGGTAACGCAGGGCTACCAGGTTTTCTTCAGTATTTTCTAATACTGATACAAGAACCATCACCAAAAACATTCTGCGTTTTCTCCAGCTTATAATTATTTTCATAAGGCAAACGTGTACTTTTTTAATCACTTAACTATTTAATTACAAATGGAAAGGATAAATTAGTGTTAATTTTTATTAGGGTTTTGAGAAGCTAGAAATAGTGGGTTTCCCAGCTGTCCTTCCTAGTCTAGAAACAGATTTCCTTCCCTTTAACAGCTAAGTGACTTTTCTGATTTTTTTCAGAACTGAATCCATGTTTCTGTCGAAGAAGCTGTTATTATTGAGATGTGGGTTATCCCTTCAGCAGGTGCTGTTAAATCAAGTTGTTTAAGTATCTCCCATGATCTTACTGGTCTGAGTTTCCACTGAAATGGTTTGCTGTCAACCCTGAAATATGAATACTATGAAAGGATTGTTGTCCAATGCTTATGTCACACTCAATTCTTCCCTAGCAGTTAAGGATCTATTCTGGTGACAAATACTGTAAGTAAATGCAAGCGAATGAACTAGAAGTTGTCCAGGACTTGACTATATTGAACTACACAAAGGTAGACTTTAAGAAAAAGTCTACCAAAAACCTGCTGGCATGAAATCACCCTGATTTACCCATTTTACCCTGATTTATGAATCGTGGGCGCTATGAATCTAGTCTAACATGCAGTTGATGCCAGCTATCATTTTATTAAGTCCCCTGAACTAAGGCAGTTTTAAACTTGATAGATTTCCAGGCAGTGTCATTAGTATAGCCTCATTGTCCTTCAGACATTAGTTAAAAGTTAAAATTCCCAGCCTTAAGGACAATGTAAGTGTGACCCTCAACTGAAACTGAAAAACAGCACGTTTTTCTTCTAGAAGAATTCTAAGTTCTGAAGGTTAGCTGGCCTTTCAGGCAAGCATCTTCCACCAGTGCACTGACCCAATTACTGGTCTCTTAAAGCTGCTGTGTTTCAAAATATGGATGCTACTAAGGCTGTTCCATCACATTATACTTTACTCAGCTAGTAATTATGAATATGAGCTCAGCTCTGCGGAAAACAGAACGGAATGGTCAGCAGTCATACTCCATGAGTCTGCTCCCCTGGTGTCCAGAGAAGAAAATAGTATCACAGTGCCTCCAGCCAGCCTTTGCCCGTGTTCCTGATATGAGGCTTGACCCTCAGAAACTTTCCATAACTCCAAGTATGAATCTCTAAGCTTCAAAGTTTAGCATCTGGAACCTCACACTGGAAGTTCTCTGTACAGTCTGATACAAATGTCACAAGCAATATGAGTAATTGAGGAAAGGTTCCGGGGCTATGGGGGAGAATTAAACTTCATTTGGGGTTTAAAACTCAGCACTTTACCTCTAATGCCACCTGGGCAAATGGACTAAATCCTGGTCCACAAGGGGCTCAATAGTTGCTCAGCGTTACATCACAGAGAAAGCAATCTTCCTACCCTGGTTTAACCATCGTCCCCTATCGCTTCTGTGGGAAGTTACTGAGGAATGGAGAAATACAACAATTTATACACATAACACATATCAATACGTATGCACCTGTGTCCAAAGTCCAGAACTTGCGACTCTGAAGTTGGTTGTATTAGAAGTTGAGGCAATCAGGCTACAGGCTGGACAGCAGCACTGCTCACTGTATTTGATTTGAAATAAACCTGAAGCTCTCACCATAGAAAGAATTATAACAAACTAATATTAACTTACTGATTAAAATTAGCACCGGTATTTTCTAACAGCAGGTTCAAGTGTAACTTTTACAAGCATGTCAACATGTCTGTTTGACAGCATGACATTTGTTTTTACATTAATTTTAGTTAAAACTTGAGAAAAAAATGTGCTCTTTGAGCACAATGTGAAAATTTTTCTTTTAATATGAGGGGAATATTGTTTAAATTAGACAATTTATACCAAGATAAACTGAAATAAGATGTTATTCCGAGCACTTTGTGGCCTTCAGCTATTTTAAATCAAAGAAAGGGAGACAAGGACAGAGCAACTTCCAAGCACATGATGAAGGAAGAAGAAGAAGCCCGGTGGCTACACTGAGTAGTACAGCACGGCGAAAGCCGCAAAATCCAGATTACCCAAGACACTCAGCACTGGGCATTGTTGGTTTTAAATTCAAAATACTCCTCAAATTACATGGGAAAGAGAAGACAATTGCATAAAGAAGAAAGATCACGGCTGCTTAATATACTTTATTCAGATCCGTCTGCACTTCGCGTGTGTAATCATGGGTGGGGTTTTATTTGCAGGAGGAAAAGGTCTTCCAGAAGAAATTCTTGCAGGGCGTTTTATCTCGGCGCGTGGACTGCTGAAGGGGCGGCAGGCCCTCCTCCCGTTTGGACACCTCCCTGACCTCCCCTCCTGTGAAGGGCGCTGCACTCGCCTGGGAGGTCCACTCATACCACCAGGCAAGGAAAGTCAACAAGCTGTTTTTCTTTATTTCTGCCACTTCCTGTATATGCTTTAGGGGACAAAGGAAAGAAAAATCAACCATCTGGTTCTGCCAGCATTAAAAGATACATAATTCTTTCCTTTAAAAAAAAAAAGAGAGATGCTCCAGAACAATAAATCACACTTCCATTTAAAGGATGAGTAACGTAACACCTTAATGAAACTGCTCTAATTAAAGAAAAGAAAAAGTTGAAAATTTTCAATCAAGGGAAAAAAATCTGCTTGTTTTGCCCCTAATCTTTGCTTAGGTCCTTAATTAGAAGAGGTCAGGAGATCTATCATCTTCCCTGACAAGTGACTGGCAACGAGGAAGCCCCCCAGGTGGATCAGGCTAATGTAGCTTGGTTTTTCCATCACTGGTCTTACTCCTGGCTGTCCACAAATTGCTTTTCAAGACAGATCAGATTGAGACATTATACTCTGGCCTTTCAAACTCCTTAGAAAGCTTCTAAGAGTAATCTGATGATAAATGACTTGTCTGGAACTCATCTGATAATTTCAGAGAAAAATCCATTTTTAATGGTCAACTTTACGTACTGTTTCTTGGAAATTTTTCAAAATGGAAAAAAGAGAAAAATAAATCACCTCATGAAGTTACAAAGTCTCACAATGGAAAATGTAATGATGTCAATTAATCTGAGCCAGTGAGAAGATGTGGTGTATATATAAATTAAGATTATAGAAGTATGTGTGACTAGCACCACCATAGCAGCTCTGTGACTGCGCTGTAATAGACTGGTGTAATCACTTAATTCTTCAAAGACCAGCAGACGGAGATCACTAGCTGGAAGATGCTCTGCTTGAGTTTCAGAGCTTTCTAACAAACTTCCTAACAACTGAAGGTTAACAAGAATCAATGGTCTGTGTGGACACCACAGCATCACAGGGCAGCCGAGGGGCACGCTATGAAGTCCATCCTGCAGTCTGTCCTGTACACACGCTTAGCCATAAAGAGGCTGGGGAATCCACAGGGATGGCCAAATATGCCACGGAAAGAGACAGCCCCAAAGTGGGTTAGCACACGGCTGAGCCGGACTACTCACCCCGCTGTTGCGGCCAGCGAGGCCGCCCTCCAGGGGAAGGGCAGCGGTGGCCCCTGAGAGCAGCAGCAGCAGGCAGAGGGGCGGCAGCATCCTGCAGGCTGACTGGCATGAGTCTCCGGCTCTGCAGCTGCTCATCCTGCTTGGCAGCCCCCAAAATCAGTGTTGTGTGGACTTGAGTCTCTTCTTTGGAGACTGGGGAGTATTTTAAGCTCAGCCTGCAGGTGTTTTTTTGTACATAAGCCTGTCTAAAGCCTGGTACCCCCTCTTCCCTCACATTCAAGCAGTGACGCATAAGCCTGAGCAATCAGTGCCCACAAAAGTGCTTTTGGATTGGACTTAACCCCTTCATTAAAGCCTGAGATCTTTTCCTGTGTTTAGAGTGGATTTCTCTTACTTTGGCACGCATGTGCACTTGCTTCTGAAGAAGTTCTACCTCCTGGTAATTACGCCTTTAGCAAGCAGGAAGCCATGAGAACAAAACGAACTGATTGAACATAATACAAAATTAGCCTTGGATAAGGAGCTTGAAATCTGCAATTTTGCCCACATAAAAATATGACTGAATCTGCTTGGGCAGAAGAAACAAGGAGACAATGAGGGCTCAGGGAGCCACTGAGAACATCCACTGGGCTCAGTAAATCACAGGCAAGGGTGACCCGAGTGTGACTGTTCCCCAGCACTGCCTCCCAGCCCAGTAGGCCAGAGACACGGTCCTCCTGCCCAGGCCTTCTCAAACTGTGATGTGTCCCCAAATCACCTTATTAAGATTACAACGCAGATTCTGATGCAGTAGGTACAAAGAGGAGCCAAAATCCTGCAATTCTAACAAGATCTTGGGTGATGCCAACACTAGAGTTGCCAGGTTCAAGTCCAGTATTTTTCGAACTGCTGCTGGCCACTCACTTTTGTTTTGAATGAAACAGAAATGCGTCATATTGAGGGAGGACAAATATTGTTTTGTGTGTGTGTCAGGTGTAAAACCTATCTCTTAGTGACTGCCCTGCACTTGGCCAGCTCCTGGGGCTTGCCAGGATAACAGAACCACTGCTGAGCAGTCCAGAACGTGAAGCCCTCCGCACCACCTCCTGCCCTTTCCCGATAGGTCCCAGGTTCAGAATCACACAAACAAATGCACAGATCCTCTTCACTGACTGTGACAGCTAGGAAAATCTGAAACCTCCACTACAAACCTACTAAGATGACCAATATCCAAGGCAAGATTCTAAATGAAAGTAAAGCAACCAAAGAACTGACAGCTCTTTCCAGAAGTGAACATCGACGTTCTCAGTTTTCCAAAGTCCTGGTAAACAGCCCTTCACAAGGGAAATCTCAATCTTAAATTTCATTTCATGGCAGATTTGCTATTTAAGATCCTAGATAAAATCGGTGTGGCTGATAACCCAAGGCTCACACACTGCATGTTGCTTAGTCCTTTTTTTTTTTTTTTGGTACCAAAGTAAATTTTTGCCCAAGACAATTTCCACAAATGGTATTAAAAATTTTTTTTAGATATTCTTGCAGAAAGTCATGGCACCTCAGCCAGCTTCTTATATTCCTTGGTGTATTTTGCAGATTTCATTCGCCGCACTCAAAAGGCATTTAGCAGCTGGCATATACTACATGACTAGAAAGAAGCCACACCATCCATCCCAACAGAGCCGTTACAGCCTAGCTAAGGGGCAAGATACATACTCTGCAAATGAAAAGTAAACTTGCAAGCAGTAAGTGAGCCAAGGAGGGTTACATGCTGCAGGCTGCGGAAGGCTTCAAGTGGTCTTATTCCTGGCTGTTTTCAAGGTGGCAACAACGTATCTTAGTACTTCAAGGTGAGGGCTCTAGGCTAAAATCCTGGTTTTGCCATTAAATTAACCTCTCTATGGCCTATGTTTCCCCATCTATAAAATGGGCACAAAAACAGTAGCTACTGCCTACCTCACAGAATTGTTGTAAGGATCAAGTATAGATGACTTAAAGCACCTAACATAAGTGGAACGCACAGGAGGCACTCATGTTAGGAACTGTTATTAAGAAGATGTCTTAAACCCTTAGTCCTTCCTCCTCCACAGCATAAAGAAGGGACATTGGAAATCCACGGTCAGAGCCATGAAACCTAAGCAAGGGCTCCTCCTTATCCCCCAACACATCTTAGACTCCAGGGTACAAGCAATCACGGGGCACTACGCAAGGCACTGAGTGATTGCTATTCACCACCCCAAAGCCTGTCTGCAGGGAGCTGACAATCTAATGTTTTATGTAACAATGTGTTTCTGAAAAGATGTACAATGGGAACTTTGATTAAAAGGAGCTCAGTCCTGGATTATTTTGAAAATAGAAGATTGCCTATTCTAAAAGGCAGAGAACTAGGACGTAGAAAGAAGGTGGAAGACTCTTCTCCATATACAGAAGAAACCTACAACAATCAAGTGTCCAACAACGGAAAGGATGCTCCGCCCCTGGAGGAGTTCAGCAGAGCCTGGGGAACTAATCGTCAGCAGTGCTGTAGCAGCGGTTCCTCCTTGGTGAGAAACTGGACTAAATGACCCCTAAGGGTTATCTATGGAGTCTGCATTTCAGTAAAAGGAATAGGCATGCCCAGAGGAACCATTCCTGGACATCGAGGTTTCAAGATATCAGCTGAGCATGAGCATGAGCTGCTGCTGTGTGCAGAAGGTGATGCTGTGAAGCTTCCCTGGCTCATTACTTTCAGTAACAAAAAAATTAACACAGTATCTTTTATTTCAACTTTTTTGAGGAAGTGGTGTAACAAGGAAGACAACAAATATTTTAAATGTAAATTGCCCCCAACTATGTTCCCAGGCCACATTTATTTCAAAGACACCTGCTGCTTTATATGGTCAATCATCTGGTTATACGGTTAGTACGTCCAGCTGAGGTTCAG